TATGTTTCTAATGTGGAGCGTGTGATTGACTGACAGCCAATCATATTAAACAGCCCCGCACCACCTCGTCTGGGCCAGTCAATCAACGCACATACCAATTTGATTTTCAACCAAAAATTTTTGTCTCTATTTTAATACTATGTGGTTTATCAGCCCACTTCCCATGGCCCCTGAAAACTTCTGGGACTCCTGATGACCTGGGCTGAGTGAGTCCCGCAGGGTGGACTAACTAACAAAATAATGGTTTTGGTCTTGACAATAAAAACTGACAGAATAACACCAGCCATATCCTTAGTAAATCATGGTTGTCTGTTATGGAGAGATAAAAGCATGATAATGCAGTTGAATGTGTACACGTGTACGACTCTTTTGGCAAAAGTGTCTGCCAAGTGAATAAATGGAAATGGAAAACAGCAGCCTAGTAATGCCACGCTGCATTGTGTCAAAGCTTTGCCTCTACCTTGTCAATTGTCTTCTATATTCATTAATAAATCATTAAAGTAATGATATATGTATGATTGTAAAACAATAGTGCAGTATGTGTGTCTAATCAAGGTTTAACTCATAATGTATTACAGATTATTAAAATTCATTATTAATGACATTCTGCATCAATGAACAAACATGAGAAAATGCAGGGAAAAAATTAGAGAAATCGTTCCTGTAAAAAAAAAATATTATTTGTGAAACCTTGTTTAAAAGATGTTAGTACTGGTTTCATGTGTTCTTACCAGCTTTCTTTGGTGTTCGGGTGAAGGTTCCTTTAACTGTGCGGCAGTGGGAATTATCCCCCACCACAAACGCCACATTTGTCCTCAACTTTGGTAGAGCCAATCTCTCTGTCGCAGCCAACTTTCTGGAGACCATGAAAACAGTTAGATAGATGAGCCGAGGTCTGGTAGTTGTACAATTCACAACATGGTTTGATGAAAACCCGACCTGTCAGATGTTTTTAAAAAACTGGTTTTTATTAGCTATTAGATTATCAGTGCTGACTGGGCACAAACTTGCGTTAGCCTGCCTCTGGGGTTGGAGGTTCACACCCACCTCGTCTGAACTGAGGTGTCATGTCCTCACTCAGACAAAGCTCCATCTGACTGAAACAACCTGTCCAGTTTACTTAGATGTATTACCTCCTTTCATGTCTTTAAGGCATCTCTTTTAACGTTACAGAATATCTCAAAAAGTTGGTAATTTGCCAATTTCTTGTAGCTGTGGCAACTAAACCCTTGAACACACTGAAAAAACTGCAACAGGAATGACATTTACCTACCAACATGTACTCATGTATGACACTCTGCTTTAATTAATTTCTCCTGTCAGGGGGAAATCTTAGGACACACAAAACATTCTTATAAAGCTTCTGATGTATAATAATGCTTCTGAAACAGCATTGATCGAGCATTAACCATCTCATCACAGTGTGTTCGAGGCTGAACTTCATGCTGTGTAATTTAATTAAGCCCTTTAAAGCCTATGAGATGCAAACAGCCTTCGGCCACTGACATGCATGATTACATAATGTAGTTATTAATATGTCAATATTATGTAGGCTGAACACGTCCTTACCACACATTCCCCACGCACACAGATACTGTAGGCATCTTTGTAGGAGCATCGTGTCCCATCATGCACCAGCTGCTTCATGTATGCCACATCTAATGTCTCCTTTGACTGGCAGTATAAGTGGCATCTCTTGCTGGCTACAAGACAACATATTATTAGATTGTTACAGAATTATTAGGTAGAAAATCCAACTTGGAAAAACTTATTGTTATTTTTTTTTTATTTACAACAGTGTATCCAGAGAAGTGTGCAGAAATGATGAAGTAAAAAAAAAGAAAAAAGGCCATACAAAATATTGCCACACATAGAAGAGAGATGCTGACCACTGGAGTAGGGATAGCTGGCCCAGAACTATCTGAGCTGGACCAGCGCATCAGGCCTTAATTTGACAGACAGCATTTCATGACAAACTTGGGTGCAGTTGTGCACAAATACTTTGGACCTATAAACAGCATGATCAATCTCTGATTATTGGATGGCAAGGTTCCCAGTTAACATAACTGATGTGAAGTATAGGTATAAGTCTATTGTGCATTCATAAACATATACTATGTAAAAATAATGAAAATAATTACTTAAAAAACTATTTTTCTATTTTAAATTGAATTAAACGGAAGAAAAGGGAATAACTACTTTTTCTGCACAAACATGTCAGCTCTCAATTGTGAGTAAGAGTTCTCTTGAGTGTGGGTAGATTCTTTTCTTACCTAAAAAAATTATGAATGCCAGAATCTTCGTGAGAACTGTGTAAGTCGGTTTAAAGAAGAAAACTGTTCTTAAGAACGATTGATGAATGAGGCCCATTGTTCCTACCTACAAACATTAGTGAAATGTTCCCACTAAAGTTATGCATACATATTAATCTAAAAGGCAGATATTAAGCCCTGCAATTAATGGTAAAATCTGAATTCACACTAAAACCTTCTTATTGTCAAATTGTACTATACTCTTCAGAAAAGCTCTTAACCTTCCACAGAACAATGGGCTCCCACTGTCTCTCGCTTCCCTGCAGTTTCGCAGTGGATTTTTCCACTTTTTTTACATGACTGACTTCCAAAACTCCGTCCAATTTAGGTGCAATAAGCGGCAAACAGCCCCATGGAGCGAAACCAGATAAAAACAATGTCTGATAAAGAGCAGGATTTGAAATAGGAAACAGGTTTTGTATCTGCACTGGAGAGATCCATCACCTTTGCAGAGAGGCTACATTTTCAGCTTGGATGGTTTTAAACTCTGGCACAGTGACTGGGAACCAAATAAAGTAAAAGAGAATGAAAAAGGAAGAGCACAGAAACTACAAACAAGAAAGGAAACCCAATACACTTGTGCTGTGTTGTGAGAATCCAGATCCCCTGCCGTCGTCGACTTTCATTGTTCTTTTTTTGGACTAAAAGAAACACCAGCCTCGCGCTTGAACAAAAAAATCTGTTGACATTTTTCTGGCTTACCGTCGGGATGCTCGTAGGGCAGCCAATGGTGTTTGGCATTTTGAAACTCAAAGTGGGAGTTCCGGAGCTGGCACTGCTGGGCTCGGAAATCTTCAAAATGCTTGGGGCAGTCGTCAGTGTTGCACAGCTGATACTCGTAGTTTACTCCTGGGCAGTCCTGGCCACCATTGGATGGTCTGGGACAAGGAAACAGATGAACATCAGAGGCCATTTCTTTGAAACCAGGAATGTGAAACCAAATCCTGCTTGAAAAGTAAGAAGCTTATATGAAAGATTGGGGTTAGTCTTAACACTGCAAAAATTATTCACACTTTTAGAGCCCTGTGTCTCACGTTCCCTCAACACATCAAGGTGTCTGTCATGGCTATTAACAGATTAACCAATACACCAGCATACAATACATAAATAGAGTGATTTATTACTATATACTTTTACAGGTGCTTCCATTATTTATTTCAACCATCCTGATATTTTAATATGTAATGGATAATGCTTGAAGGCTTACTTTAATTTTAATCTGGCAATTTAAATACTGGTCGGTATATATTTAAATAGCTGTTGGGAAAGTAAACCTCATTGGTTAAGATTAGATAAACATCATAAGCATGGGTAGTTAGGGAAGTAGGGAAAATACTGCAGTCATGGTTAGAAGAAACCATTATTGAATGTTGGTATGAGATGGGATGTAAATTGCAGTCTCCTGCGCATGTTGATGCTTTGTTGAACACACCATCAAAGACAATCTTCTTCCTGAGACGTTATCGATGGTATCACAACATCACGCTACTTACAGAGGACGGTCATTACTCTCATGATCGGAAGAGATTGCTTGACAGAAAAATATAAACACCCATACAAACACCCAATTCTGTCTGTTTTGAGGACAGCCTCAATAAAACCCATACTGAATCCCTAACTCAGTGTTAGGCAGGATTCATTCAAGGTTATACACAAGGACATCTAGCATACTAGTAAAAGTCAGAGAAAAGTAATTAGCATACTACATCAGTTTTGTGTTTATAATCTATAATTGTCCTTTTTTGTGCACACAACACAACTATTTCCTCTTGTCCTGGGAGAGGGATCTCTCCTCTGAGGTTTCCTCCTTTTTTCCCCGTTAAGAGTTTTTGTGATTTGTGATATTGGACTACATAAAAAATAATTACTTGACTTGACTTGACAGTGGTTCACGATGCCTCACAGAATCAATTCATGTAATTGCCACTTACGCTGGGTTGTTGCACTGACGTGTGCGGAAGCGAACTCCAGTTCCACAGGAGCGCGAGCAGGAGCCGTATTTGCTCCAGGCGCCCCAGGTGCCGTCTTGCTTGACCTGGTTAGGGTTTTTCCACATGCAGTGACCTTTGTAGCACCACTACAGAGGAAGAAGAGAGAGGAAATGTGAGCCAAACATAAAATCCTTTTATCCGGACTAAGACAATGATAACACATGGAGAAAATGTGAATACGTTATGTGGCCAAATGAATGTGTTTCTAGGTTCAAGAGCTCCTTAGTTCCAGTTAAGGGATATTAAAATTTAGACAATAGCATGCTTCCAACTTTGTTCCAGCTGTTTGGGGTGGGCCCTTTCCAGGTCCATAAAAAAAACAGTTTTCTCAGTGTGGCATGGAAGAACTTGACTGGTCTGCACAGAGCCTAGACCTCAACCCCATCCAGCACCTTTGGGATGAACTGGGTCTTACTGCACAACATCAGTGTTGGTCCTCACTAATGCTCTTGTGGCTAAATGGAAGCAAATCTCTGCAGGTTCCAACATCTGGTGGAAAACATTTCCAGAGGTGTGGAGGCCCGTGGTTTTAGGATGAGATGTTCAACAAACTTACTTTTCCAGGAGCACACTCAGTCCCATCGAGGGGTGGCCCCTTCTTGGTTTTGCAGAAGTAAGGGTTGTCTGGGTGGCTGCACCACAGCTGTTTACATGGGTCGAATGTACGAAACTAAAAGACAGAAAAAAGGAAAATCATGCCTTAAGGTATGTGAGCTGACGACCTGTATCTGAACTGAAATACGCATAACTCATAGGCTGAAAGAAGGAAAGTGTTTTCTTGAAACACATTCTGAGAAATACCATCTGCCTTTACAAAGGTTTGCACAAGAACTGAACAATATTGCCAATGATGTACAGATGCAAGTAACGCTCCGTATTTTACAAAGAAAAGTCTATAAATATAGGTAGAAAAACATTTACTATTTCACAGTCACGGTACTCTATCCTCTTACAGGCAGCTGACACATCACAAGTGTTACGGCCTCCACTATCAGAGGCACTAGTGGTTTGAGAATGTTTTCTTTGGAAACAGTTTACACTTAACCTCCTCTTTAGATGTTATTTTCAAGGATTAGAACAGATCATCAAATTGATTCAAGAGAACTCTAAGCCTTTCAGCTGCCAAGGGCATCTGTATACCAAGTGTGAAGAACATGACCCCTAAGACCTATTGCTTTCACTCAAAATGGTCTGTCTCTTTCCTTTTTTGGCTGACATCGTTTTCTCAGTCATGAAGCTCTGTCGTGTCTGCAGCTTATTCAGAATGCAGTTGTTGCTCGTCTACACAGAACCAAGAGGAGAGATCAAATAATAATTATTGTGTAATTACGGTTATCAAATCCATATTTATTTATTTATCCGTTTTATGACGCCTATAATTTGAAATTGCACCCATATTGTGGTGCTTATTTTTAAGGGTGCTAAAACATGATATAACTATCTCAGCCAAACACATAGACTTTTATGATTTTCATTTTGTTGGTGGAACCTGACTCCAGTCTTTTTCAAGGGCAATACACACCAATGGTAGCAAATGATTGCACATTGAAACACCTGCGCCCTTTGTTGTCCTAGCCTTGTTGTTGAGTCATCTCTTTAGAAAACCAGTGATTTGTTTGTATCTGCTTTCCGCATCTGCTCATCCAAGCTACTGAACCTTCACCACTTCTTCTGTCTGTATGACATGTGGCGATGTGTGCTACAGGCATCAATTTGCCAGTGAAAAAATGCTCAGTGATCTAGCTGCTGATTAATAGTACCCTCACCAAGCAGCCAATATGTCAAAAAATGGAAACAAGTTAGCCCATGGGCAAAGGAACCAGTAATTTGTTTTTAACACAGTTTCAAATCTGACTTCACCACCTTGTGGCCATTAATGACTTTTTACAATTAGGCTACTACCGCAATTTATTCACCTCTAATATATTTGGATGAGGCACCACTCTTTTCTTTTTCATACTCCATACCAGTTTTCTATAATTGGCTGACAAATTCTTAAAGGTGGGGTCTATTTGACATGAACTGACATAGATATTAAACACATTGTGCAACACATGCCAACCCTACTTGCCAGATTTATACAATATCCACACACGGCAACTTCAGTAAGGTTAGGGAAAGATCAGGTTTATGGCTTTAAAAGTAAGGTTAAAGTTAAAGATGGATTACCAACCAGGCAAAGCATCTGCGCGCCAGATATCTAGAACCTCTCCTTGTTCACTATTTAGCAATGATCTGATGAATTTCAACTTTGTCTGGGAATGTGCACCACTAAAGCAACTGAAAGTGATAAGCTCCTTAAGGTGGGTCCTGCTCTATTAAACCTGGGACCATGTATTATTCTCAGAATAATGTACACAATGAACAGAAGAGAAGGAATAGGTGATGGGGCCCTTAAGATAATCCAGCCATGGTTAAGGTATGGTTGAGGTTAGGCAACTAAAACACTAGGGACAGGGTTCAGGAAAGTCTGTGGTTTTGGTTCAAAGAAAGCAAACGTGCAATTTCCATTAAGGTTTAATAAAGAACTTCACTTTAGTGTTGTACTGTGACAGTAAACAAACTCTGGACTACTGTATAAAAGTTAAATCAGCACGTTTTCTGTTTCGCTGCATAAAGAATATACTACTCCTACATTAACATTGAACAATGGTATTGACAAAATGTTGTGCTGCAGAATTGTCCAACTAATTGTGCTACTATTTATTGTTAGGTGTATGTTGAAGTTTTGCTGCAGAACAGTAAATTTCTTCCAGTAAATTTCTGGCATGACATGGTATAGAATGGCATGGAATGCCATGACACCAATTCATAGCACATTGTGTTCCATTCACCTAGATAAGGGTCGCTGATTTAGAACCACTTCCTCTATTCATCTCATTCATAAGGACTTGATAGAAAGATTTGAATCCTGCTGAGAGAGAATAATACGACTCTCTGAACATGCCTGCTGCAGCCACGTCCCCTTCTCCAATCATGTTCAATTGCTTGGCAAGTGGATCTTTGTTTGCAGAAGCACACAAGACAATTAGCTAGACTGCCTTTTTTTTCTAAACAAACAAACAAAAACCTTTTTAGCTTGTGACACAAAAAGAATCCACTGGGCTCCGATACACAATTGCTGTACAGTGGCTCCCATTACTCTAATTGCCACTCTGAGTGTAAACAAAGGAGTTTAGGAAACTGCACGCTCAAAAAGCTTGCGTATGTTGGTCAGGCTAACTAAGGAGGCTGACCTCAATTCTTTAAAAAATCCAGATGCTACAGGATTACTATTATTCCACGGTAAAAAATCATTGTAGAATTTTTTGGTAAAAAAAGTTTGATAGCTACTTGTCCGGATATTCTGTTGGACTCAATTTTGAGTGTGTGTGTGTGTTGTGTGTATGAAGGTGGTGTTTGGAGAGAATAACTGATTTTGTGATTGTGATTTTTTGCTCTGCACCAGCAGACCAGTGAGCATTGACTGCAGGTTGGGGTTAAAATCTCAGCTAGTTATAATGTATCCAATTGTAATTCTCAAATACAAACATTAATGTATACCTTGGTTCAGCCTCCGCACAAATTACAGTCAATGAGAGATGAGATGCTATCGTCAGATTCATGTTAAAACTTAAGAACACTGCAGCGAACTCTTTAGCCTTGAAATGAGTTCAGTACCTCTTGCCACTGGTTAAAATTGCCTGCACTCAGAAATTCAAAATGACCTGTGTGACTGCCACTGTTTCCACTTGAGTGATCTCAATAGTAAGAGATTATTCCTGTAATAACTTGAATTCCCACAGCTTCTAAGGTATTTCTGGTGCCAGCATGCCTCAGAGAGAAAGGAGCACAAACTGAATGATTGGAAAGATTTATGATTAGGGTTGGGCAACAAACTTGGTCAAATTACAGACATTATGACTTGCTTACTGTCCTAAATTCACTTATATTGCATGTTTTAAACAAATGTCTGTAAACTGACAATAGTTAGAACAGTTAGCGACAGTCCAGTATCTTTGTCTGGTCAGAATGGAGCACTGTGGCAGATTAGTCTGGCACAAATGCTGTTTTATAGACACACTTCCACATTTTCTCTTCACACTGAATTGTCTTATAAACACTTATTTTATCTCCATTCACCAACCCTGAGCTCTGCATCAAGCTGCTACACCACTCCCTCCAATGGAGCCTCAGAATACATCAACATTTAGTTTAGTAAACAAATTTAGTGTTTCTTAAAATATATGTTTATGATCACCAAATGTTATCTTTCTCAGGCAGGATTTGGGGGCTACAGACACACAGACCATCACATGCAGAACCAGTGTTACAATCAAGCAGACTTGTGGAAAAAAACTAAAGCTGTCATTATAGGTCTAGAGTCTAGTCGATCGATTGTCGATCGAAAAAAAAAAAAAAAAAAAAGAAATCTGGCCTTGTCATCATTAGATGGATGGGAGGCGAGTCTATACAGGGTAAACATATTGCAAGTAAACATTATGTTTTTTCTTCTTGCAGGAAATCTCTGTATAGATGCGGTCTAATCAATAGTCAGCAAGGACTGGTTTGTTTCAGCCAACACTAAGCCTGGTAGGTAATGGCCACTGATGGATGGCTGGTTCTAAATTTCTCTGTCTACCCTTTGGTGCTGGGCAGGTTGGTACAGTGGGTTAATCAGAGGTGTTCGACTAAGAAACAGCTGCGTTGAGATAAAAAAATAAAGTTATGAGCCAGAAATGCTCCGATGAACTGAGGAACTTATACTACTGAAACCGATGGAGACAGGTGACCTAATGATTCTTTTACATGTTGAAATCAAATGAAGCAGCCTTCATCTCAAGTGGGGCAGGATAACAAGGAGTCCATCAAAATCAAAACTGCTTTCAAAGAAATGTCAACCCACAACTCCCCAAGGTCTCAGCACAGTCCTGACAGCATACACACATTTTCTCCAAAAATGTAAATCCAAGATGACTCATCCCCTGTAAGATAGGGATTTTTTAAGTTAATAAATGACAGAAACAAGTCTAGTTGCAAGGGCGTGATGTTTTCCGCATGGTCTGACATAATCATCATCAAATCGATTTCTCATCAGGTGCTGCCATTTCTTTTTTTATATTACCTTTCCAATATTTTGCCGTGTGATAGGTCAACTTTTTATTTATGGTCTATCACCAGTCTAATTAGCTTATCCCTTTGGGGAAAAAACGGTGACATGACATTGGTTATAGGCCAGTGTAGATGAAGGTGCTGTGACCAGTTAAAGAAGAAGAAAATTTGTACTGATGACAAAATATAATGACAAAATGTTTATCACCCTGCCATCTGCGGAGAACTAGCCATATAGCAGCTGTGACTGCTGTAAAGTAAGCAGATCTCTGTTTGAAGAGTTCACTAGCATCTGATTCTGCTCACATGAGTCTCCTGATAGTTTCTCAGAACGCTACACGTCTTTCTGCAAAAAGCTCCCCAGAACTTCTGAGCCCTGCGAGCACCAGATCTAAAGCTAGTCATATGGATGACATTTTATTTTTATCAGCTCTTTGAGGACACATTAAGTTTCTATGGTTTCTATCTTTTCCCTTTATCTCTGCTGAGTTTCACTTACAGACATATTTTTGGGGCAGGGTACACACTGTGCAGTTTGCACTTATCCACTAAATGGAAGCCTGAGGGCTGTACTCACTGAAGTGCAGATCTTATAGCCCACACCAAAGTCGAACCGACACTGCTCATCCATCGAGTAGTTGATGCCAGGAAGTTCAGGAAGCTGCGGCCAATCATGTTTAAAGGGGTCATCCAAGAGACAGTCATACGTGCTGTCAGGAAAGGAAAAAAGAGGTGTCAAACACTGAACAGAGATCAATGTTGTCATCCTGATTAAGACACCTCAACTGAAGAGCCAACCATCAGCCCTAATTTCCCTGCTTTATAAGTTTATGTGATCATAATTTAGTTGAAAGTCTCCCTGTTTTCTGATCTGCTCCCATTTAAATTCGCTGTTGATACCGTTTTCTGCTGTTAATTCAAACTCAAAAGCTTCTCCATGTTTACCTGTTACATTCAATATTATGTATATTCCACAGCATTAAATCCATCATTACAATAACACAGACTTGTCACGCTCCATAATCTGTTGGTCAGTAGAGCTGCAACAAACAATTATTGATTAGTCCATAGATTGTTTCCTCTATTAATAGATTGAAGAACAGTTTGATCAGTGAGTAAAATGTTACAAAATGCCCAAGGTGACATAAAATACTTTATTTGTCTGTCTGACCAGAAACCAAAAATAAAGACATTCAGTTTACAATTCTGTAAAACAGAGACGAGCAGCAAATCCTCACATTGGAGATGCTGGGACCACAGAATGTTATTTCTGCTATTCTTGATTTAAAATTACTTAAACAATGAATTGATTATCAAAACTGCATTTTTTTGTAGGCCGACTAATCGATTAATGAACTAATCGTTTCAAATTTCAACAGAATTAAATCAATCAATTCAACACGCAGCACAGTCATACTGGCTACTCTTGATCTCGACTTTCTTCTCTTAATAAAAATGCTGTTTCCATTCAGAAATTGCTTCTATTTGGAGCTCTCAGAACCAAAGCTTTTACGTTTATGATGCTACATTATTATACTACAGTAACGCTTTTCATACAATAGATTGATTTTTCTCTGCAATGGATCCACTTAGCCTGGAGCTGCTCTAAAAAAAAACAGCATGCTATGGTGAATGATTGTACATGGTCATTATCATCTTCTTTAACACGCCATTGTTTGGTGTCCCGCTCTGCTGACCTTTCCCGGTCAGAAATTGATTATTTTACAGCTGAGTGAAAAACTCGATATCTGTGCACTCTTTGTGCTCTTTCATTGTCCTGTTTGCAGATCGTGTGACGCTGTTTTAGTTAGAGACACATTTCAAATGTTGGAGTGTATCCACCAGCGTCAGTGCTTTAGAAACGTCATGAGCTTCAGCTACTTGAACATGAACTCACTGGATGTATCTCTTCAGCTCTTGTCCGCTGCACATGGACCAGTGATATCGATGGAAGGCCGCCTGCACCAGAGGAGCCATCACGCTTCCCATCGCCGTTTCGTCCCCGCAGCGGTTGCCTTGGCCGTCGTGCTCCATGCCTAATCTGTTCCCATACGGAGAGACAAGCAAACAATTACAAAACTGCTCAATATCAAGATCCCAAGATCCCCTATAAGTTTTAGGTAAATAATACAAAATTGTGTTATCTTTTGGGGGCCAGAAGTGGAACATATTTACTCAAATAATCTACTTTAGTGTTTATTTAGTAGTTTTTTAATTTTGTGAGATGCTTTACATTTAGTTAAATTCCACAGCAATTGCAGTATCTTACAGTATCTTATAGTTGTATGTTATTGTATGGAATGTTAGTTATATTGGCTATGTGAGCTATATGTGTAAATATCAGTATTCTTGTCTTCCCTTTTCTCTGGTCTTTCTTTATTTCATTTCCATCCTTCTTGACATTTCATGATATTTATTGTTGATATTTCTTTCAGTCAAACAACAAAGATATTTATTGAAGCAGCATCATATTTTGTGTCCACCACTGAATAGTGTAACTGTGACACTTTACCTGTCGTGATTTATTAATAAAAAAATTACACACAATTTTTACATTTGTTTGGCATGACATTTCCACAAATCTTTGTTATTTCATGCAGCAGGTGGATCTTCGAAACCTTGTCACACTGTTTGGGTTTACCAGTGCACATATGTACTGTAGAGATTACCACCATCCATTCAGACGTAAGATTGTAAATGTCACTTTTTAACTAGAAGACACTATTTCATTCACAACCATCCACAAACATATCCAATATGCAGTATATAAGCAGATATTGCCTGGTACTGATAAGCCGACCACATTCTGCATCCCTGTTCCTCTGTAGATTAGTATTACCATGGCATGACAGAAATATGTTGACAGACACTTTCAGTCATCAGTACTGAAAAAAAGAAAACTGTTCACTTGAGGAACTGAAGCACACACCCATTTTCATCTAGCAAAACTCTCCATTGCAAAGAGCTCTACCTGCCAGTGGCTACGTTGTACTGCACTAATAATAGACATGCCAGATGTTCTGCTTGCAACTGTGTGAAACACCACAGAGTTTCAGATGCAGGGTGTCATTACTGCGACCCCGATGGGAACGCTCACTACATCTGTTGTTAATATTTAATCAGTGCAGACAAAGCTCCTGATATGACTTTGCACTTTGGTTCAGTTTGTTGGGAAAACAATTGATACATTAGGGCCTTTTATTTCTGATCCGGTTCACACTGACTCATTACGAACAAAACAAAAGGCCTAAGCAGTAAACAGGTGGAGAATTTTGGTGGTCAGCGCACAACATGAATCCACGTGTGGAAATCAAATTCTGGTAACCGCCACCTGGTCATAGATCGATAGATTAATTTTATTGTCCCCAAATGGGGAATTTGTTCCCACAATTGTGTGTATTATGTGTGCCTCTAAACATAGCTACATTTATGTAATAATACAACATGAATACATTTGTACAGAATATATGGTGTGTTATCAACTAGCGCGGCATTGCAGAGGGGACAAAACGTCTGCTAAACTGTGCCCTTTTCCATTGAAGCGTCAGCAGCCAGATAGCAGTAGGAGCTGTCCAGGTACTAGGGTGAGTGCCATGCGAGTAATAGCTATGTTACTGAGATCACTGAGTTACCATGGAGTCCATGATCTTGCATAATTATATAGATCACATTCACAGATTGCTTCGCTTTCTCGACAGTTCCCATGATCAGCAAATGGATGTAATGATGTTTCGTTCTGCTTTGATGGAAAAAGTGCTTTACATAGATTTTAGGTAAAATTTCAAACTGAAGAAACTATTCTGCAAACCTTGTATGATGTTTTATGTACTGATGTATATAGAGTACGGACATCTACAGCTGGGGGGTTTGAGAGAACAAACATTTTCTATTTTGAAAAGTAATTACACCCCGCTAACTTAGCTTGTCATGTGAATTTACAGGATCATTAATGCAACTGTTAAAGAACTTGTTTGAATAGGAGGAAAGATGGCATTTCTCTTTTTGTGAGTTTTTACTCCATGTGGCCTTTTTGGGCTTTAGCAATCATTGATGCATCAGTTATTTTGAGATTATGTTCTTTTCAATACCTGCCTCTACTGGCAAATACGTCCCTATAATATAACATTAAAACCTAGTAAACGGATTTCCTTATTTGTAAGTTGAATGCTGTGTGTTGTGAAAAAAATTGTATAGATTACCAAAGAGTTTAATAGAGTTATAAAGTTTTTTCTAATCATTAAAAACACATTTTGGATTCAGCCACTAATAAGGATGTCTTCTTTGTTGTTCTCCGACCTACAACACATGGCACAGCCTGAATGATCAAAAAAAGATTTGATAGAGCCTGATGTGTTGGTTGAGTACTGCTACATGTCCTGTACTGTCCTTGCTCTGAATGGGAGGTCATGTTTTCCTAACACACAGTGAGCATCAATAAATACTTGCAGATGAGGATTCAATACAGTGGGTTCCAATGTAACCAACATAAATTCCTATTCTGTTATTTGTAGAAAGTGTTGAAGCGGTATTGCAGCTGCAGTATCAGCTTGTGAAATTGTCCCTGCTGCTGTCATGTGCATTACGCTTTGGAATGCAATTTCTTTCAAGTAATAAGAAAATAAATGAATAAATAAAAAACATACTAGACAAAGCGTGCATGGTTTCTTTTTTTCATAATTATTTCAGATGAGATAAAGTGAAGTGACTCGATTCTGCACACAAATTTAAAATCAACCCTCACCAGTTGAAGTAGGGAAGAAATGGGATTTTAAAGGAGACCTTTTATACTTTTCCACATTTTATGACTATAATGTTACAATGTTAGATGTTCATGTTAAACATGGCCAAAGCTTCAAAAAATTTGGTTAAAGTTGTTATGAGTTGTATTTTTTCCCTGTGTGTTTCTGTTTTTTGCCATTATTTTCTTAGTCCTGTGCTTTCGTGTTTTCCTGATCTGTGTACTTCTGTGTTTTATCATTATGGTCTGTGTCCTAGTCCTTAGTCTTATATCTCCATGTTTTAGTGTAGTCTTGTCTCCTGTTTGGTCCCGTCTCTGTCCGTGCCCTGATTTTGCGGTCTTTCCATGTTTTGTGTTTTACTTTGGTAGATCTGTCCTTGTGTGTTCCTGTGAACTTTACTTCCTGTTTTATTTTGGTAATCCTCTGTACCTGGTGTCCTTGTCTAACTTTGTCCCTGTGGTTGATTACCCGATGTATTTCAGCTGTGCTTCCCTCCCTGCTCGCTTACCAGTGTATATATTGTCCTCAGTTGTCTTCAGTCCTTGTCACGTCCTTGCGTTGTCTGTGTTGAGTGTTCTGTGCCTTCCCTGCATTTTTGGATTACTTCATGGGTTATACTTTGTTCTGGGATTTTTCCTTTTGGATCATGTTTGTTTGGAGATACCTTTTGCATTTGCCGCTGTGCTCCCAGCGTAAGTCTGTTTAGTTCTTTGTGTCAATAAATCTTTATTCGAACTGCAACAACCTCGCCTACAGTCTGCTTTTGGGTCCATACCTCAGCTCCCGCACTCAGCGCCCCATGACAAAAGTAGAAATCCCTAAGATTTCCTCCTGTTCTGAACGCTCTGTTTTGAACAACTGCTTTTACTACCAACAGCTCCGTTCTACGACATACATAGCCAGACGTAGCCAGTGTTCCATATATGGTCATTTGCTCCACACAGCAACAGCACAGCAACGGCACACCAACGCTCAGTCTGTCTGTACCCGACAACAACAGCCTGGTAACATGCTTCAGGTTTTGGCCAATCAGAAGACGGTGGGCTTTGAGAGGGGGAGCCAGGAGAGAAAGGAGCATCTACAGCTTGTTTCAGACAGAGGCTGAAATGAAGGCCTACATGAAGAGTCAGTCTAAGACAGATTTTTGTTTTTTAAACTTTTGAACATGCAAAGCTACCATATAGGATTCACAGAACTACAATATCTCCTTTAATGTGCTGTTCAGCAAAAATATGCCTTTTTTTCTGTCAAACTACTATTTCCAAGGTCAAGAATGGACTTTCATGCTCAAATGTTTTTAATAATATTGCATTGTATACTTAAATTAGTTTTTCACATAAAATGCAAAGAATTTTCTAGAATACAAATTCTTAATGTTGGGATGAACTGAACTTTACTGGTTTGGTTTGTTTCATAACTTTTTAGTTTTTTTTCTTGTTGGTTAAATAAAACAGGCAGTATATCAGGAAACTTAAGGGAAACATAAACTTGAGTCTATATTTAAGTGCTACTCTAAATCAGTGTGAAAGTCATAGCATTAGCTCTACTGCTTTGTGCTTTGTTACAGTTACCGGGGAACTGAACCTAAGCATGGATTAAGGGTTAAGTATGCCTTCATAGCCTCCTCCCTGCTGCATCCCAACGCCTCCCTGATTTCTCTCCAAGAATTTTGTTGAATCTTTGTCGTCTTGAGGCATTGGCAGTCTCTCAAACACAAACAAGCTTTAAAAAAGTCATGTGCTTTCTCTTTGGCCTGTTGTAGATGGGAAATTACACTTTCTGATGGAAAAATGTTGGATTCTGTTTCATTTTGTGGAGTTTTTAACCTTATCTATATCGCTTACATAGATGGTGACAGACTGTCTTTCATACAACAAAAGAACCAAGTATAGACCTAGACAACCTGGCTGTCAAGTATGAGTGAGTGAGTTTGACATCTTGTTCACGACTTCCTCTTTGTTGGTTTCCTCAGTGTGTCTCTTCAATATCACCCTGCCTGTCTTCTGATATATTTGCTGCTGTTTAAATATCTAAGTCTTAAGTCCCCTCTGACTCTTCTTTGGTTACTACAAAGATTGTCCAAAGATATTTTGAGCCTAATATTATTAGGATGCACTTTGTGTTCAAATGATCTACATTTTCATTACAAAGCTCATGTAGAGCTTTATAAAACATAAAAAATGAGGTGTATGCAGATAAACATACTGAAAGAAATTAGACCAGATTGTTAACGTCGCACATATCTACTCCTCCTGGATCTATTGTCACATAATTAATTTGATGTCTGGTTACTTAGAGACAAGGGGTGGCTTGTCTTGATTAAAGACTCAGCTTGCCCCATTCTCCCCATCGGATTAACACTGCGTGCCTCAGTAGTCATCTGACACTACTTAATGACATCTTTCAATAAGTCACATCTGACAAAAGTTCCCTAACCATGGCAACAGGTTAATTCAAAACAAAGAAGGTACGTGCCTGCGCCTTTTCTTTGCTAGTAGTTACTGGAGGCATCGGTGATGAGACAGCAGATCGTGAATCTCCACCGCAAAAGGAAGGTAAAAGTGCAATAATTCAGGCCTTTAGAAACAGTGCTTAGATCTCTGTTTTGAGAGAAGCAATTACAAGCCCCAGCTAAGGAGGAGTTTAGGAAAACTGACATGACCCCCACCGGGGGCACCTCGCACCAAATCGTCTCTGTAAACCATAAAGAAAGGTCAACTTGGAGCTCAGATTGTTTCACAAGAGGTAGAAAACTGTCTCATCTGTCAGGAAAAAGCTGCTATTCCCCAGCTAATACAATCATTAATTTACTAAACATGTGCAGCAGTATACAGAATAAGGGAGAGACGAAAGGGGGGAAAGATAGCAAGTGCTGTCCAGGCAGAAAACCTTAAATTCAGCGAACAAAATTGGATTGTGACGTGGCAGTTGAGACCAGCTGCGTGGTGAGCGAGCTGGCAGCAAAAGCAGGGAAGAGACAAGTGTTCAATCATCATTGTCTGTTCCCAGCCCTCTGAATTACTGTCCACATCCTTTGTTTGTTCATCAATTCAATTAGGTCTGTTGTTATGCTAATTGACGGACTGACGGCCCTTTCCCTTGGTTGGAGAGTTACAGTTATGATGCTCATTCTTCCTGAACAACAGGACTGTTGATGACATTGAGATTATTGATTAAGAAATGCAAACATATCTGTGATCAAAATCATACACAAACATATTTGCACAATCTAAGCATTTTAAGATTGTTTTATTCTGTCTCCACGGCACTCAAATTTTCACATAGCATCATTCTCTCAATTTTTATTTTTTATTTTTTTTTACTGTGCTAGGATTTAATTTTGAAATGTAATTCTAAGAATTGTCTCAGAATTTCCTCGTAGCACTAGAAAACTGTATGTTTAGAGTACAGCACCTGGTTTCCACATTGTTTTTTCCCTTGGAAAGTATATTGATCCCTGAAGATGAAACTGTCTGTTCACTTGCAGCAGGGTCAGCTACAGAGCAACAACTGTGAAGTTGGAGGATTCGGAGTCTCGCTCTGGGACATAAGCATGAGAGATCCTTTCTGACGCTGTCAAACAGCTGCTGCTCCTGCTGAAGGACAGATTCTCTTTTCTCCTCCTGCCTCCCTTTCCAAATAATTTCATTGTCAACAAGAACAAACTAAACCTGCAACAAATAGACCATTTTCACAGGTGATGACCACACTCTGGCACTGTCTGATGTTGTCAATGTTGGACATAGAGAACAGACCAGTTTTCCCCCAAATTATAAGTCCTGATCTCCTAAAGTCCAACTGAAAATCAGTCATCTCTTTTTGTAGTCAAAAAAATATCAACGTGTTTTTAAATGTTATTTTATAGTTTTCATTATTAAAAGGAACAGAGGAATATCAGAAATGCTCCTTTTCATCTGGAGAGCCTGACTGACAGCAGCTGGCAGACTGCCAGATTGACTGGCGTTACACTGCAGGGAACGAGAGACAAAGGAAACAAGCCAGCGCTCTAGCCGACACATCATGGCTAGACAGCGGGCTGTTTTTGTTATTGAAGAGTAAGGATGGCATTACTCTTTTTGGTTGTGTGATCTGTACTTCAGAAGTGAAATATGTTGCAAGAAGTGTGGACTATTTGTAAGATGTATTCAAGGGTAGGAAAAGGAAAAGGGGACATGATGACAAACAGTGACTGAGCACTTGTGTTTTCAGACATGTGTTCAATAAACAAAACATGAAATTTAATAAAGGCTAATATGGCAACAGTCCGAGTGCTAAAGACCATTTCTTTAAAGATCCCTTGTGTCACTTAACATAAGCCGCGACTTTTAAGTCCCCGGATCTCTTTTCAAGGAACTAAAAGGTTCCTTCAGCCCATTGCTGTGTGAGAGAGCAACACAAAAATAAAACTGCGACAGTTTGGAAGGTTATTATAACATTTCCAGCCGACAAGAGCTGCAGATCAGCTGGCCAGACTCACGTCTGTGTCCGCCTGAACGTCGGAGAAACGTGATTTTAACGAGCTTTATGCAAAATCTTACTGACTGATTAAAACTTGAAACAAAAACTTCGGAAGCAGTATTTAGCGTAACTCCATCAGCTGTTCACTGTAAACACACCGCTGCCTGCTGGCTGCTATTTCTGAGAAATACATTTAATGCCGATGTACGATCTCAGACGGACATCGGCAAGACTTGTGTGGCTATCTGACTGTTGATTGTGATTTATTGGTTTGCAAACAAGGTGGAAAATGAGGAGCTGTCGTAGAAAAACACCTGACATTCTCTCTCCAGTTAAAGCCAGTAGCCTCTTCTCGCCCATTCAGAAATTCATTGCAAAGTACCGGTACTTTTGGAAAGAAGAAGAAGAAGAAACTCTGTTATTATTATGTTAGTATTTACACAAAAGGTCCGAAAGACACATGCACAAACAGGACCCATAGCAACACACGGAGAGATGTCAGAGTGGAGAGCAGCTGGGGGTTCAGGGGCTTGCTCAAGGCCTCCTTCGGCAGTGCCCAGGAGGTGAACTGGCACCTCTCCAGCTACTAGCCCCCCCCACAAACTAACGACTAAATTTAGAGCCTGGTCCCTTCGGTGAAAACGCAGTGAGTTTCTCCAAAGGTTCCTAGTTCTGAAGTATAGTTCCTTTGGTGGAAACAGCTATAGAGATAACAGGGAAAAAAGCCCCGGGAACATTTTCACACTTAACATGCTAGCTGCATAGCTGTGGTATTAAGCAGAAGGACCATCATTTTGGCACAGGACTGTGTTACTTTAGGAAGAGGAGTGTGTGAAAACAAAGCAAACATCACAGAGTACGGTCTAGACTGCTCTTTTATGAAAAGCGCTGTGAGATAACTGTTGTTGTGATTTGGCGCTATATAAATAAAATTTAATTGAACTGAATTGTGAGTTTAGGAGCTTCAAACATCTAGACATAAAAAGAAGGAAGAACATAACAAGAACGTACACATGTCCGGTCTCGTGAGCCACAACGAAGGCTGAGGAGAAGCCGTCTTCATGGTTGAGGGTGCAGCTCCGGACTGGGTGGCACATTCCTGTGACTGGAGCATAACCTGAAGGACATCAGGAGAAGGAGGATGCTGGTTATTGTAAGAAATTATTTATTTTCCTTACTTATCACTAAATAGATCATGATTTTGATGAATTTCATTCTGTTTTATTTAGGCAATGTTATTGTATGGCTGCTTAATTCAAGTAATACCCTATTAATTACATTTCAAAAACAGCAGCTCATTTTTTAAAAACACAATATCCTGGACTTTGGATCAACAGACTTTGCTAGTAGTAATAGTTTTCAGTCTAAGTACTTACTACCAAAGAAATAGTCCCTAATGTCTGTGGATATATAGTTATTATTGTTGTTTCCAGAGAGAGATGCGGCTGCTGATTTTTCAACTGTTATTTTTCTGTGCTCTGAGCCCCACAAAAGTAATTCCATCCACAGGCAGGTGTAAATGAGCAAATAAAACTCACACTACCTGCATCGGTTAGGGAGTTGAACTTATTCTTTAAGTAGGACGGATCCGTGTGTATTTCTGTCTGTGTATGTACTGTGTTTGTGTGTCCCGTGCATCATTAATTGTGATGATATATGTGATGCTGAGCTTCATGACAAAAACAGGAAACAGATAGTACAAACATAGCAGGAGGGGCAGGTACAGCCGGACATTCAGTGTGGAAGGAAGGACGCTTCATGATTATCAATGAACCTTGCCAAAATTAAATTAAACATGTACTTCCTCATTTAGTTCTTTCTCTGTGCTGTTGTTTGCCACTGACAGTTAACACCTACTGAGTCATAATGCCCATGTTTGTCAACAAACCACAAATGTTGACACATTTTACAAGAAGTGAACCACACAATGCTAATCAAAGACAGACATTAGGGAATATAGATTTTGGCGCAGCAATGCTAATAGAAATTTGGCACAAGGCCACTAATAATGGCCTGTCTTGGCTTTAAAATAAAATCATTGATCATGTACATCTATTGCACAAAATACCTATTTTAAAGTCATTGATCTTTAAAACAATTTCATCTCTACCACAAATACAATGGCTGGACCTGAAATTAAATTAAAAAAAAACCCTATATGATATAATATAAATAATAATTTAAATATAAGCAAAGCAAACAAACTGTCCTAAAAATGTAAACAACCAAGAAACTGATACTGAAGTCAAAAAAACTCTTTAACATTGAATGAAGAATGAATGATTGAATATTTCAATGAAAAAGCGAAGAAAAGCCTGTCTGAAGTAACCCTGCTATGTGGCATCCAAGAGGGAAAATGCTCCAGCACTCTCAGTGCTACCTCAGAAAAACACAATTGACTCTTCATGCGTTATGCTTTCCCAAGGGTGGAATTTACTCTGGGAATTGGGGGGTTCAAATTCTAGTTTTGCCCCACTTGGATTTACACTTTGGATGACTCTCTAAACAGTGTCCTCTTTTGGTCCAGCTGCCATTATCTAGATTAGAAAACATTATATAATGATAAATATCCAGATTAGTTCACCTGAAGGCGCATTTCATCGTTGCCATGCGCTCACACCAAAAGATGCAGCAGAGAGCAACCTTGGATCGTTTTATTTATTTATTTATACTCAGGTTGCACACAAGTCTGGCCTCATTCTCTGGGATTAACATCCTCAAACCATGTTCCTAATATTAACAATAACCAGACTGCTAACATGTATTTCAGAGCACTTGATTTAAGTTTTGACATGCTACGTTTTTTTAACTGAAGAGCAATCTCTATAATTTCAAAGGTTGATTTCAACACTTTGCCGTGTCCTATTGCTTTGGTGCAGCGATTTAAAAGCAGACAGTAGGCCTAACATTACAAAAGGAACAAAGAAGAAAATACAGTCAACAATATTGCTATGCAGTGGCACCATTCAGTAGCAAAATCTATATTTCATAACATGATGGTGTCTGGGTTATCACACACTGAAACAACATGTATTTATATGTAAATCGTGTCTAATAGCCCTAAAATAATACTAAAAATACTGATAATCCCAGATAAACGTCAAAAATCCAGGAAACAAGAACTTCCAGGAACACTGACCACATCTGGAAAAGGGATCCACACAACCCCAATTCAGTTTCTCAGTAAGAGACACCTTGTTCACTTGTATACTCTACTTTGTCAATTACGACTCTGCAGTACAATACAGAAAGAGGCTCATCCAAAGAGTCATTATCACCTGGATATAGGTTAGAAGATGTGTGTGAATTAATGGTACATATGTTTTTAACAAAGTGCCCCGATGTAATTGGTAGACACTGATTATTCTCTTAGACTTTGTAAAGGACTGTCCTGGGAGACCGTTTATTCTTACCTTATATCTATGATTGACAGAGGGGAAAAGTTTGGAAAAATTGACTTTCTCTTTGGTTGTTATGAATAAAAATGTCTAATAGTTGCATTACATTTCCTTCTTTTTGAGGATGTTTGTTGCCAGATATATGTACACAAAAACTATATGATCTTAGATAAGATAATTCATATAAAAGCTAATTAAAATAACTAAGCAAAACATATTTTTTATCAGTGAAACATGGCTTTTTTACTTACATTTAGTGGTAGTAACCATTAGCATGTAGTAGTAACATGTGTACTCAAATTCTGCTAACTTTAAGCTTACTGCTGACTTCACAGATACACATGAGGCTGAACAGTTTATATTTCTACCTAGGACTGCTAAATATTTACACTGATTTTGTCAATGTACGAGTTTCACACGGTTGTGTAAAGGTGGCATGTATCTAATATCTATATAAATGGACTACCAAATGTAAAAAGCCTACCGAGCACATTTGGTAATCCATTTAAATAGATATTCCCCACCTTATAGAATTAGATGCCTTACTTTAAAGCACTTAATCCACTGCACAGCTGGAACATCTGCACTGCCTCTTTAGCAAAGTTGAAGTCTCAACAGTCAACTCCTCATACCTAAATAACTAAAACAAACTTTGCATTTTCTGATGTGCTGGACATAATGTTAACATATAATTAAGTTGTAGAGACAGTTTGTTTTTATGTGATAAGAAAGGGTATCTGGTGTTAATAATGCTGCATATGTGTGTAAGGAGATTTACTGAAAGCTTAGGAAATGCAGGATCCCACAAAAGGATCCAATGTAATGCAGTATGAATAGGTTTTGTATGTTCCTGAGGTGTCTGATGGATTAGATCAGCTATTTAGGGAAGACTGAACTGTCATTTTCATTCCATCTTTACCATCTACAGTTTTTATCAACCCATTATTGTCTGTTCACTGTCTGTGGGGTGAAATCTGGTCAATTGCTTCGTTTGTTCAGCCTGTTAAAATGATTCAATTTCAAAACATGTCACGCTGAAACGGACAAGCTTAATGATATCTTGCTTATCAAAATCTCACAGCGGCTCATGGGAAGACCGCAGAGAAGTGATGGTAATATGTGTTCCCAAGCCTTCACTGAAATAATTCTGCCTTTGACTAGTGGTCAAAGTAGTCCTACAGGAAGTCATGAAGTCTGAAATATCCTTGATGGTATCAAAGAAAACTGAGGCAGGTTGGTGTGGGAATAGTCATCTTTGATTGATATACAATGGCGGCAGCTATTGGTTTATTTCTCTCAAAAGATTTCAGCTTGAAACTGATAAAACACAGTAGCTAGAGTATATATAATTAAACATCCCCTTTTATTCATTCATAAGGCTGCTATATTCTGTAGAAGGCCTGACGCAGTGAGCAAGCCAACTGACAACACAATGAAATTGAACAAATTACCAAACTGTGGATGGTGGATGGGAGATGATGCCACTCACCTTCTCCCCTGTGTCTTACACTGTTTGGAAATAAAACTGAGAGGGAGCTTCAAAAGATTTGGTTTTTGCACAGAAATAAAAGAGAGATAGGATACTTTGAGATGTCAGTTCTATATTCCTGAAATCAAAGATAAGTTGAAACTCAAACAGTATAATAAAAAAAAGCTTTCTGCCTCTTTCCAGACCTTTGAATTAAAACACATCTCAACTTAAATGTGAGAAATGAAAAGAAATGGCAGTCAGATTATTAGGTTAAAGACTGATGACTGAAAATGGTAATAAAAAATAGTAGTGATTGTCTTTCATTGACAGAGTATTTATACTGTGACAATACATTCAGCACACCTTGTAATCTTTACGGAAATGCTGACTGCTGCAAAAGATGCTTTGTTTATTCATAAGACTATATCTTCAATAATTTCTTTTTTAATATCACACAACTTGGGCCTACATAAAAGATAGCATAAAACTTTGATTTTGATCTCTGTTCATATTCTAGGTAGCTTGGCATCTTTGGTAATTTCATGTGTATGAGAAATGAAGCCCCAAAAGGCACGAAATTTTAAATTAATATCACCATCTTGTACACCCAGATGAGCATTTACATCAAGCAAGGTAAGGATTTCGTTCACGTGAAAAAACTATATAGACATTGTGAGTTTTTTTATTGAAATAATTCCTGTTTGCTATTTTTGTTTATTCTACATACAATGAAGAACTGTGAAGCACTAGACAGAAATTGCAGGCGCTGGCATCAAAAAACATGTCCCCTGTGGTGTGAGTGACTGCAGTCAATAAGGCATGGGTTGAATGGTTTTAATCATGTAGGAAAAAGTGCTTTGATGCAGCTTCTAGCCGTCACTGATGCTTCGATTGTCCTGTGCACAGTGTGAAATAGATGCATTGCATGCTGAGCATAAAAATACAAACACCGACTTTTTTCTTTCTGTGCCAAGCCTGGTGGGGAATGAAAACAACTAATTTATTTTTCTTAACGCAGTCCTTAACATACTTGCCAATGGTGAAGTGGGGGGATGAAAAAGTCAAAAGGTTCTGTCCACTTTGTCCAGGCACTGATTATTAATTACGGTTGCAGCTTCAGTCCCTGAAATAGTGTGTTGCTCATGGGATCAAACCAATCAGTATCAGTTTAGGTCATCAACATAAAGAGTAGGGGTGGGTGAAAATGTTCACACATAAAATAACCACATATACATGTCTGTTTTTTGG